CATTTTTATTGGACCTGACATTCTTCATTTTCTCCCTTGTATTAGGAGGAAATGTGTTTCTGTTACAAGTGACAAAACCTTTTTAGCTTAGTTAGACAAGGGAATTTTGTTTGTGCCACATAACTGAAGGGTGGAAGGCAAGAGGGGCATGGTACAGGCAGTAGTGAAGCACAGTCAGATTGTTCCTACATGAGGTCAGTTGGAGCCATGCAGAATGAGATTCAGAACCAGAATCAGAAACAGCTAAGGCCAAGAGGTTCTGAAGTGGTGATTAAGGGGTGTGTGATAAAGGTGGGTCCCCAGAGAGATGTGTCAAATAACACGTGTCTGCCATTCCCCAGCTATAGACGGGCACTGCAAACACTGGGATCTGATTCTTATCACCAGCAGTTTGTTTTCAATGCATACCTTAGGCTAGATGTGCAGTATCCAAATGAACCCCAGATCACCAAAGTAATATACATTTTCAATTTTCTGCTATACCACACTGACATTATCATCCTAGACTTCAACTTGACTAGTCACATGGACTGTTTCACAGTTTTCATTTCCAACTGTTTTTACCTTTCTCAATATTTTCTCTGTGTCTTCATTGACATAGAAATCCATTTTTATGATAAAATCTGTTTGGTCTGGCTCCAAAGTTTCATTGGCCTAGAAAAACATAGTTTCTCAGAGTTTTCAGACATGGTTAGGCTATATTCATACAAAAACCTTTACGTAGATAAATGCTCAAAAACACATCCAATCACTTGACTATAGTTTAAAAAAAATCACACTATTTCTAAGCATTTATTTACTTAAAGTTCAGAGTAGGAGACACATGTTCAATATGGCCAGTGTCAAAAATTCTAAGTGTAAATTTCTAAAGATTCAATAAACAATGAGACCTGCATAGAAGCTGAACTTTGACCAACATATTTGAGCCTAATTCCATCAACTCTGCTTCGAACTCACCTTACTCTTCCCTTTCATTCTTAGCAAAATTAGAAAAAATTCTCCCCTGTCCTGTACTGGGAAGCTTTGTCTACACTTGAGTCTTTTTCAAATATTTGTTTCCATCTCAAGTGACTTATCAAGAAATGTCTTCTGAACCAAATAAAGTGCTCTCAATGAAAGATTCCATGTAATTTGTTCCACTTTTCAAAGCATGTTCAAATTAACAGAACAATATAAAGTGTTATCTTCCAGACATTGAATATTATTATTATTAAATTTATTATCATCAGATAGAAACCTGAAATTTTAGGCATTGATCAAAGATGTAGGGATACTTTTGGGGGGCCTCTAAAAATCATACCACTGAGTAAGTAGATTCTATCTTAATGTAATTAGACTGGTCCAGAATTTTCCCTTCAGTCCTTCTTTCCTCAGTGCAACGACTTAGCTTCAGAATCTTTTCCTGAGTTTCAGATGATGACATTGTTGGAAAATGGGAGTATTTCTAGTACTGCAGAGATACAGTGATGAGTCTTGTCTTTTCTAGGCATTTCCTGGAATCACGGAGACCAATTCTAAAAATCAGGCAATTTGATGTAATAGTTGTGTGGTTTTAAAAACAATGAATTGACAGTTTTGCATAAATCAGACTAAGCTGCTGTCTTGCCAATGGGTTTCAGCCCTGGGCAAGTTTGCTATGGATTCAATGTGACCAAGGAAAATGACAGTAAAATGTTCTTGGAGTGAAAGGGTTATACCCCACTTTATTTCCAGGTGGTAGGCCAGTCACTAAAATCCTGTTCAAGAGTGAATCTGCATGCAGGAAGCCGGTCTCTGCATCTGGGCCCCTCTGCCTGCACAGCCGTCCTCTGGGCCTCTCTGCACAGTCGTCCCACACAGCTGTCCTCTGGGCCTCTGTCCTCGGCATTGCCACCACTCCAGCCTCTGCTCTGCTCTCCTGTAGCCTTGCAGCCCTGCCACCGTGTCGCACACAGAGCACTGGGAGGAGCCCTTTATATAGAGTCAACAGCCATGTATTGCCCACAGGTGTGTAATGAGCTAGTTAACCAGGGCCAGGTGAGAATCCTGGCCACAGGAACTCTCATTTTATCCACAGCTGCCTTAGCTACTCCTTCCCTACTTACTTCAATCTTCAGCACTCCAGTTTCTTCCCAGATTTTGAAGGCATTATGCCCAAGGAGTTTGAAGGTACCCCAGGCCACCTTTTCTGACACCTTCCCCTGTTCAACCATCAGCAGCAAGTCTGATTCCCCTATTTGAGGCAACAGAGGTCACATCCATGGGGAATTGAGAGACAGCAAATCATGCTCATTGTTAGGAGTATAACTCATACTTTTCTCATCTGAACTTGATGGCCTGGGAGATCTAGCCAAGCATTACTGAGATCCTGCCTATGGAACTGTAGGGGAAACATAAACTAGTAAAACTCAGTCCTTACTTATAAGTTGCACTTCATCTCACTGGGCAGTAACTATAATGCCAGGCAAAATGAAAGAAGAGTTGTGACAGCAGAATCTTGAAAGGAGAACTTGACTATTATTGGGTGGACAAGGGAAAATCTGCTGGGTTTTGAAGATTAAGTAGTGTCTATATTTGCAAATACAAGGGAAATGACTTTTCAGGTAGAGGAAAGAGCTAGACAAAGACATGGAGACATGAAAGTGTGATGTATGAAGATGGAGCCCAAAAAATAGCAATGCTTGGAATAGAATGGCAAGTCTACTGCGTATCAAGTGCATTGTAGAGCCATAAGATAGGCCTTGTTCCTATCTGTTCCTTTCCTTCCTAATAATACTATCACCATTAGTAAATATGTATGTGTTTGTTTATTTGCTTATATTTTCTAATGTCTTTACAAGTTTATGGATTTCTAATATAACTTAAACATGTTCTCTGGAAATATATATATAGAAGGACAAACTGTCCTATCATCATGCCAGAAATCTGCCACTGATGCTGTTTTTCATTTCTAGTAAGGATTCTTGGGTTCACAATTATAGAAGGAGACAAATATTTTAACCATCATTTCAAAAATATCAGTTGCATGTCACTCTTGCCAATTTTTCTGTTTTAATATTCAGAACTATTATGTTCTATTATACTATTTGGTCCTGAGAGCACCACCGTTCTTGATGAGCCCCTTTTCTTGGGCTTCTGCTGAGACAGCCTCCCTCCTTCAGGGCTTTGCAACCAGTGAGCAGAACCTCCTCAAACTGATTTTGTAAGTTGTTAGTTTTACTAAACTTCCCTCAGGAGAACTCATTGTTGGACCTTTCCGCAGCACAAGGCCATCCAGTCAACCACTGAGACACAGCCCCATCCTACAGAGTCATCTCTTCCAAGCATCATGCACAATCAAGAGCATGGGGACAGTAGAGTTGTTTTTCTTTTACTGACCCTTTAAGGCTGATCTTTCTAAAACAATTATGACCATGTCACCCTGACATCTAAGATCATGGCAACTCCTTAACATTTCTCAAGGGCAAGTCCAAAGTGCTTCATTCAGCATATTGCTCTACATGGTGGGACTCCTGGCTTTGCCATCTCCTATAGCTCTCGCTGATCTAACCTCTCTTAGAGACATAATATAGTTCTTGGAGAATTTATGCAAACCTGTTCTTTCTGATTAGGATTGTCTCTGTTTTATTTCTATTTTCAAATTTCAAAAAGTATGTGGTTTAGAAAGTAAAATAGTTCTATAAGGCTAAGGAAAGTGTTTCCAGGCTCATCCTTCTCATTCTTGACTCCCACTCCCTCAAAACAACCAAAATTTACATTTTATTATGTCTTCTCTGTATTTCTAAATAACATGCTTATATTGATAGTTCTAAATTTTTTCAGGTGTTGATATTATGTATTGACCTCCAACCATATATAATAAAGATTTAGCTTTTAATACACACACACACACACACACACACACACACATTACCAGTATCTTGATCTTCCTAATTAGTTATGACATTTGGTTAGCTCAATATTTAGTGTTTATGTTATTCTCACTTTAAATATTAGTCACAGAAGGTCCATGAGGATACTTTGGTTACAGTTTCTGTCCTATTTTGTTTCCCTGGATTTAATACTTGTCTTTCTTAAATTCATTTTCTTGGTTTCCTATGTACCTAATATTTATTAATCCCAAATTCCCTAAAAAAAGGGTTCTTCTCCAATAATTTCAAACACATCCGATAATCTATCTATTGCACAGTTTTCTTTTGTCTTTTGATCCTTCCATTCGTGTTGCAGTCTTAACTGACTGCTGCAGAGCTGTCATTCTGGGACCTTCCTCTACCCACTCCCATGGTGGGGCCACCAGCTACTCCCTCCTTTTGTTGGAAAACCCCCTCTAATAACTTCCTGAAAAGGAAAGGAAATTCAATTGGTGGTACAAGCATAGGGTAATCACTATAAATATTCCTGCTCAAAAAAGGGGAAGCAAGATATACAAAGGAGTCACTGCCCATAGCAATTCTGAAATCCAACAAGGAGAATATTAGAATTTCCTCCATTTGTTTTCAAGGTCTGGGAATTCTTCATGGCTCTCAGCCTTACTGTCTGGGCTGCTGTCCACTCTCTGAATCATCCTTCTTTTATTACGAAAGGTAGCACTTGTTTGTAGATAAATAACATCTTCAATCTGCTTCCTGCCCAAAGAATTTTGGGGGCCCCATCACCTCTTTTCCTTTTGTCTGTCTCTGTCCCTTTCAGTCCAAACCAGCAGTGTTTCTGTTGCTATAGTGCTGTGGGGAAGTTGGGGTTCCTATGGTCAGGATCCTCACTGAACTTAAACCACTTGGTGATGTAACTGCCCTGTTGCTAGGCTACCGCTTCCACACCTTTAGGCAATAAGCTATTATTGCTCTATATAGAGAGCTCAGCCCAGTGCTCTGGGAGGCAGAGATGCTAGTGCTCGACCTACAGCCAGAGAACAAGCCGGGTAATAAACCCTTTCACCCCAAAGAAACATTCTACTCTCATTTCTTCAGTCACATTGAATCCATAGTGACCTTGCTGAGGGCTGAAACCCATTGGCAAGACAGGTACTCACTTCAGCAGCACATACACTAAAATTGGAACAAGACAGAGAAGATTAGCATGGCCTCTGTGCAAGGATGATATGCAAATTCATGAAATATTCCTATTTTTTGAAAAAAGAAATACATATTTTTAGATACATTGGGTCTTCATTCACATTTAAAACACTTAGAGCTATAATGGTGAAATGGATGTCCTGTTGTTGATGAAGGTGACTTTTGGGTCTGACCCAAGGGGAGGGGCTTATTTTCAGGAGGACCACGTGATTAGAGGGCTGGAACTTTCAGTCCTTCCCCTCCCTAGGGGAGGGGAGAGGGGCTGGAGATTGACTCAGCCAGATGTCAATGACTTAGTCAACAATGACTATGTAGTGAAGCCTCCATAAAAAGCAAGTTAACAGATTTTTTTTCTCCTTTTCAGAGAGCTTTCATATTTGAAGAACCACAGTGTTTCCATGTGCCCCCAGATTGGGCCCTAAGGACATAAATTCCTTTGTTCAGTATCTCACTCTATGTATCTCTTCATCTAGCTGTTGATTCATATCCTTTATCATACCCTTTAACAGAGTGGGAAATGTAAACAAGTGTTTCCATGAGTTCTGTGAGTTGCTCTAATAAATTAATCAAACTGAAGAAGGAGGTCATTGGAACCTCCAATCTGCAGCCAGCCAGTCAGAAGCATAGGGAACAGCCTGGGGCTTGTGACTGGAATCTGAATTGAGGGTGTGGGCAGTCTTGTTGGACTGAGCTCTCAACCTGTGGAATCTGATTTTATCTCCTTCCAGGTGGGTGCTGTCAGAATTGAGTTGAATTCTCAGACATCCTGCTGGTGTCCAAGAATTGTTTGGTGTTGTGTGGTGGAAAAGTCCCCTACATTGGAATTACGTCCTGGGAATCTATTTAATAGTTTTCTCAAAAACTTTGTAGGACTCCTGGGAAATTCACTGGGATCTACACCATTAGACAAATGCCACACTTATCAATCTCCTTTAGGTAAGCTTTCCTCTATAATGAGCTGCTACTGAGAAGGCTGAGCTAAGCTTCCCACAGGCCCCTTCATTTGAGAAGATTTCTGAGATACATCTCTAATCTCTTTAAAGGGCCTTTGTGGACTGAGTAATAACTTGGTCCTTTGTTGTGATGTCTAAAAAAAAATGTTTTAGAGTCTCCTTGACTTTATCTCTAGACCATTTTTCTGACAGTACACAGAAGCCATTTCTTAATTTCAGCATTTTTCATTCTCTGTAGAGGAGGAGAATTTTCATAACCATCAAATTCTGGCTGCTTTTTGTTTACCAGTCCTTCCCTGAAGTGATCTCTCTCCTCTTGCATTTTATCATAAGCAGCTAGAAGAAACTAGACAGCATATTCAACACTCTTGTTGGAAGTCTCTTTAGTGGGATTACCAAATCCATAAGCACTTTTCCTGCTTTCTATGTAAGAGCAGATGAAAGATTGCTAACATTTCTTCCAGTACATAAAAGGATTCTTGCAGTTTCCAATAATATGTTTCTTTCTTTTTAGCCCTCATAGGCAGTGCCCTCAAGGTCCAGATTTCCACTGTCAGTTTGTTAAAAGCAATTTGGGCTGCCTTTAAAATGCTCCTCAGTATCTGTCCAGCCTCCTCCCACTGTCTGGTCCCAGTGCACCTCTGAAATTTTTTAGTATTTGTTACAAAGGCACCTCACTACTAGTGCCAACATATATATTAGTTATGTATTACTATGTAACAAATTACCCCAAACTTAGTGGACTAATATAGCAAATATTATGGCACAGTTTCTGTGTATCAGGAATCCAGGTGAAGCTTAGCTGGGTCCTCTGGCTCAGTGTCTCTCACAAGGCTCCTATTAAGGTGTCAGAGAGACTGCAAACATCTCAAGACTTGAATAGGGATGAGCCCTCTTCCCAATTCATATATATGGTTGCTGGCAGGATTCAGTCTGTTAGGCAGAAAGACAGACATGAGAGGGATGGAACAAGGTTGGGGCCAACCAAGAACTCAGGGAGTTGATCAGATAAAGCCAGAGAGCCAGTGATAACTCAGAGTCAATTAAATGAAGCCACAGGAACAAGGAGTGACTTGAAAGGCAAAGACATTTCCCAGATAAGAAACCTCAGAGCACAGGCACTCTGCAAATGACAAAAATTCCCCAGAAGGAAAATTTCAGAGTGCAGCCCATGCCTTAACTCTGCCAATCAGATGAAGTCCCCAAGGCCAAAGAAGGCCAGTCAAGGACTTCTTTGCCCTGCCAAAATCCCATGTCTCACAATAGGCAGTTGGGCCATATGCTCCTAGGTTAGAGGCCCACTCTGTTTCAGAGCATAATTAAACTTGGCTTTGCTTTCTTGACTTTGATGTCATGTTTCATTCTATCTGAATCTGACTTCCCTGTGACTCCAAACCAAGTGACACCCCAACAAGTTCCTGGCAGGCTGTTAGACTGAGGGCCTCGGTTCCTCACTGGCTTCTTACCATGTAGGCCTCTCCATTGAGCAGCTCACAGCATGGAAGTTTGCTTTATCAGAGCAAGCAAGTGAAAAGAGCCAGGGAAAGGAGTGAAAGCAAGACAGAAGTCACCATCATTAAAACCCAGTCTTGAAAGAGACATCCCATCACTTTTTCCATACCTATATTAATTATAAGCAAGCCTCTCTAGCCCATACTGAAGGGAAGGGGCTTACACACAGGCATGAATAAAAAGAGGCAGGGAACATTGGAACTCATTTCAGAAACTGCTGAACTATAACTTCATAAAGATGCATTATTGGGTAGTTATTATTTTAAAAATTAATATTTGTTCAAAGTTCATTATGTGACACTCACTATTCTAAGTATTTTGTATACCCTCATTTGATTTTCATAACAACCCTGTGAGCAAAGTACTATTATCACCCTTATTTTACATATGAGGAATCTCAGAATTTGAGCTGAAGTTATTTAAATTTAAGAGTTTAAATAATTTGCCTAGGATTTGCAAAAAGAAATTAAGTCAATATTTAAACCCAGACAATATGGTTCTAAAGCCTCTTAACCACAATTTGCACCTTCTTATAAAAAATGTAGGACTCTAGGGAAGAATAGATTTGTAATTGGATCCAGACATTGTGGAATGTCCATTAAGTAAAAAAATTTAGAGCAGTTTTCCTTTCTCTGAAGTTTTCATGGTGGTGGTATGAAAGAAAGAGGATGATAAAGATCTCTACATTAACTTTAAGTTTTTATAAATATTGTTTTCATAGGGAAACACATAATTGGACAGATTTGAGTGATTTGCTCTAGACACTAGATTATATGCTGCTTTTTAAATATTATATCATATTTTCCCACATCATTAATCATTTTTGAAAAATATGACAATGTCTACTTTTTGAGCTTTAACTCAGTATTCATATCACAGTGCTTCATTGACTATGACATTTTAAAAGCTAATTTATTTTTTACTTTTTTGAAATCAGAAAGCCACAGAGCCATTCTGAGAGTGCTTGGAACATCTGTCCTTCAAAGTCACAGTGTGTTGCTCTGTGAAATTCTGAAAGAAAAATAATTGCTAGAACATATTGCTAGAATACAACACAGAGTGACAGGCAATATGGAAACTAGATGTTCTTCTTTCCCATACGCTTTGAAATTACCATTGAAATGGAGGACTTATTATAAAATTAGGGGAACATATCAACAGTCCACATGTAGCATTATTTGAGGAATTTGTTAGATACAGACTGGATTTTTATAGCAGTGATTTCCATTTTCAAATTTTTATACCATAATGTTAAAGGATTAAGAAGAAACCAAGTACTTGGAAAATTAACATTACTAGCACAATATTTTAATGATTTATCCATGTTCTGGCACAGATTCATAGTTTCTTTTTTATTATTCAATGGTATTTAATTGGATATATAAACCACAATTTGAAAATACCTAATGCCACTGAACTAACATTTAAAAAGTTTTTTTTAATGGTAAATTTTATGTGTATTTTATCACAACTAAGAATAGACTAAAATTGTTTCCTACAATGAGATATCACCCCACACCAGTTAGGATGGCCAACATCCAAAAGACAAACAACAACAAATATTGGCAAGGATGTGGAGAAAGGGGAACCCTGCTATACTGCTGGTGGGAATGTAAATTAGTTCAACCATTGTGGAAAGCAATATGGAGGTTCCTCAAAAAACTAAAAATAGAAATACCATTTGACCAGGAATTCCACTTCTAGGAATTTACCCTAAGAATGCAGCAGCCCAGTTTGAAAAAGACAGATGCACCCCTATGTTTATCCAGCACTATTTACAATAGCCAAGACATGGAAGCAACCTAAGTGTCCATCAGTAGATGAATGGATAAAGAAGAGGTGGTACACATACACAATGGAATATTATTCAGCCATAAGAAGAAAATAAATTCTACCATTTGCAACAACATGGATGGAGCTAGAGGGTATTATGCTCAGTGAAATAAACCAGGTGGAGAAAGACAAGTATCAAATGATTTCATTCATCTGTGGAGTATAACAACAAAGCAAAAACTGAAGGAACAAAACAGCAGCAGACTCACAGAAACCAAGAATGGACTAAAAGTTACCAAAGGGAAAGGAACTGGGGAGGGTGGGTTGGAAGGGAGGGATAAGGGGATTAAGGGACATTATGATTAGCACACATAATGTAGGCAGGGCACAGGGAAGGAAGTATAGCACAGAGAAGACAAGTAGAGACTCTATAGCATCTTACCATGGTGATGGAGAGTGACTGTAACGGGGTATATGGTGGGAACTTGATAATGGGGGGAATCTAGTAACCACAATGTTGCTCATGTGATTGTATATCAATGATACCTTAATAAAAATAATTGTTTCCTTATAAAATATTACAAGCACTTAAGAGATTTTTCAAAGGAAAATCTGAAACTAAAGATAGAAACAAATACTAAAAAACTGGAATCCATAATAAATCAAAGAATGATGTTTCAAGTGACAGTTTATGTTGAATTTTTATAAAGTTTGGATAGTGGGCTTACATATATAGATGAAATGTTATATTATATTGTATTAGTTATATTATAATATTATAGACTATAATGCAATTAGGATAACAGAACTTTGAGTTG